TATGCTGGGCAAGAAGTCGGTGAGGTGTCACCTGAAACCAGAGCAGCAGGCATGTGCTGAGTCTCTATCCTGTCTGGGAGGGAGCTTAGCTTAAGGCATTCTCCTGGTTCCCAGATGTTCAGAGGTGTTTAACTCCTGTGACCATGCCAGGTTTACAGGAGAGGGAACCCAGCTTTTCAGGGTCCTGACCCCCAAGCCTAGGTTTCTGGATTGTTCCTTCCCTGAGTCACTCTATCAGCTGCAGCTTCTCGCTGACCTCGGGCCAGCAGCTCTCACACTCCCCAGACTCTGACCACAGCAAGCATGACAGCAGGAGTTGACTGCCCCTGAGCTGGAGGTTTGGGGGACATCCAGGCAGTTAGTCCCACTTAAGCAGGAGAGATGGATAAGGACTCAAGGGAGAAGCTAAGAGACAAGTGCAAAAGGCAAGCACCACATCTCCTCAGACTGCACCTGGGGCTGCTATTGCCTCTGCCACCTTTGGACTTCCTGACTGAGAGGGTGTGTGCTCTGTCTACCTTCAGCCCATGGGGGAGACAGGAGCCCCTCTTCCCAGGCTCACCACAGCTGGTAAAGTACAGAGCTCTGCTCAGGTCCCTGTGGGAAGCCCCTCCATGCCTCCAGGCTTGACACTTTCTCCTGCTTATCCAGCCTCAGGTCTGATCCTGACTGGAGACCCTGGTCCCCTCTGCTCTTCACTTTGCTGATGTCACTCCTTTGGCTCAGTTTCTACAGCCTGTCTCCAGGACGATCCACTTAACTCTTCGTCACAGGCTACCTCTACTTCCCCTTCATGTACCTCCCTGCAATTTTTCCTTGTCCCCTTCCCATTCTGTTAGCACCCCTGTGGGCAGGGGTTGGTTATCCTTGTCATCACGGAATCCACAGCAACCCCATCGGGTCTGCGACACAGTAGATGTGCAATAAGTTCTTCGAGCATGAGGCTGGGTGCATGGCTGACTGGGTGCGTGGCTGGCTGGGTGCGTGGCTGGCTGGGTGCGTGGCTG